AATAAATAAAAATAATATTGTGTTATGATATAAATGATTTATCATAAATTTAAAATATAATTTATATATTTAAAAATATTAATATAATTTATGTATTTAAATATAATACTTATTTATATATAATTTATTATAAATTTTAATTATATATAATAATCATTTAACATGTGTATTGTACATTCTAAAATACTAGTAATAAAATAAGATTTGTCATGTTAGCAAATCTCACATGTCATCACTTTGTTATTTTTTTTTTCCAACTAAACTCTATGGTTTTTTAATTCATTAAAATATTTTGTTATATTCTTTTATAGTAAGAAACTTTTTTTATAATAAATATATATTGTGATTAAATTAATTAAATTATAAAATCTTAAAATATTAAGAAAAAACCTTAATTGATCATAATTATATTAACATTTTTTATGATTATTATTTTATAATAACTTACAATAATTTTTTTATCCTCCTACAAGTCTTCCCCAGTAAACTAGGTCAGAAACTAATGTCAAATATGATATTAATTATTGTGACTGTCGTTGAACTCACAACTTTTCATACTTGATATTATTTTAAATACTAATGAATTACAAGTTATAAATCTATTATCTATTATAAAAGAAATTTTTGCCATGATGATAAATGACATGTCATATAACCATTGTTTTCCCCCCTAAATTTTACCGTTTTTAATACATTATTATATTTATTTGTAGAAACAAAAATGTTATATATATATATATATATTGTGATTAAATTAATTGATTAAACTATTAAACATTAAATGGATTATTTTTAAGAATCTTAAATGGATCTTGATTTTATAATTATAATAAAAAATCTATTATCACGATTTTATAATAACTAATCATATTATTATTGTAAAAAAATTAATTAACATTACTTTTTTACACTAATAATTAAGATTACTTGAAATATTAATGGATTGTAAGTTAATAAATATAATATTTATTATTTATTATAAAATAAGAGTTTGTCATGTTGGCAGATCTTACGTGGCATCAACATCTTAATTTATTTTGCCTAAATTTTATTATTTATCAATTTTTAATTCATTAAGTACATTATTATATATATTTGTATTAACATAGATGTTTATAATAAGTATATGTTGTCATTAAATTATTAAATTTTAAATGGATTTTAAAAAAAAATCTTAAATAGATCTTAATTTTATAATTATAGTAACTTTTTTCATTACAAATAATTATATTATCTATTATAAAATAAGGTTTCCTCATGTGGCATGGCAGAGCTCATGCTCTTGATATATTTTGTCTAAAAATTCTGTTGATTTTTTATTTTTAATTCATAAAATATATTATTATATGTTTATAGTAACAAAGATGTATATAATAAGTATACGTTGTCTTTAAATTAATTAATTAAATTGCTTCAAATGATTTTAAAAAAAATCTTAAATAGATATTAATTTCATAATTGTAACAACTTTTTCATCATCATGATTTTATAATATAATAATATTATTATAAAAAAATAATTAATATTATTTTAAATACTAATTGATTACATGTTAATAAACTAATACGAATTATTCTATCATTTTATATTATTACTTTAACTATGTGTTTCCGTAAATATTAATTATATATTTTCTATAATATATTTTATTATTTATATAACCATAAATTACATGTTTCATTAAATATTATACAAGTCTAAAATTAATCGATGTTACTCCCTTCAGTTATGAATATAACAAACAAAAAAACCAATTCACACTAATTAAGAAACTTTTATATCACTTAATTTTGCTAATTTTGTCTAAAATTAACTTATTTTTCTAAACTATCTTCCCTTGAAACTTGATAGCAAGAATAAAAAGAAATATTAGAAATATTGTGTCATTAAATTGAAGGGTTATTTTAGAGATTAGTTGAAATTTACTAATATGAATTTGTTACATATATAGTATATAGTATACTTTAATCACCTTTTGTTGGTAAGAAATATCAAATATGGAACTTACTTTCAAAGCAATATTGCTTTTCTAATTACTGGTAGGGGAAATGGTTGCAAGAGAAAAGAAAAAAATATTGAGAGTAAGTAACCATACAAATTAGGGGTATGGATTAAGGGTAAAGGTGTATAATCAAAAATGGAAATCAAATAGAAGTTATCCAAAGAAGTATCGACTGTCTTTATATATAGGTATAAGATGAAGCATCTTCATGAGATAGCAATAGGGGTTGAGCACTTTTTTAAACATCTCCAAAAGCATAAATTGTCAAAGAAGTCCTTTTGTTCTAAATAAGATAAGGAAAGTGGCCTTGGTGCTTAACTTACCATTATTGATAGGCTTGACTTTTTAAAAAGGATAGGGTCATCGTTTAAGGCAGTTTGCCTATAATTAGGGGCTCACATCTTAACTTTACTTGTGTCAATGTCATTTAGTGTTCTACGTGCATTAGAGGTAGTCTCACTAGTAAGCCTGAAATATTCAGTAAATCTTACTACATTTAGGATTAATAAGCCTAACCCTAGGCTATAAGTTTTTCTCTTGTATATTCAGGATTTTAGATCAAGTAGTTGAGACTGCGAGTGGGAGGACTTTATTTAGACTTCAACACTGTTATGCATCTCCTTTCTCTCTTTTGCTTTTGTTTACATCCATATAACAGATCTCCAAACTTCCTCTCTCCAGCCATTACAATTCTATACAACTATATTCTGTTAAAATATGAAACCATAACACTTTTCTCACTTTTTTTGCCCACAAAGTCTATAATCCAAGCTACTTAATTCCCTCAAGTAACTGCTGCACTGAAAGTTTAGTAACACATGTTCTTGAATTTGAATCAATATCTTTCGTTCTTCCAAGCCTCAGCCTATAACCCAAAATCCATTCTATCCAAACCTAAACAATAAAATAGACAAGCTTGAAACCATGGGCTCTCCAACTAGATGCTAGCAGGAGAAATTACCCCAAATCTATCTTGCATTGTAGATCACGTTTCTTATAGCCCCGAAGACTAATTTTATACATAAAGTAGGTGCTCTCCTCATATAATAATGATGATAATAATAATAAGCAGCTTAATTAAAGTGTCTACATACAAGACAGGACACAAATTCATTTCACAGCAGTGAAATTTCTGTAATTTGAAAAGAATGCTTTGAGTAGATCTACAACATTATTATAGCAACTTGTGGAGGAGACAGACAAAATGTAGTAGTAGAATAGTTTCAGCCAAAGGTACAAGAAAATAAAAGGTGAATTCAAAAAATGCGTATAATGTGTGTATCAAGGAAGTAGCAATACAACTATACAAAATATTTCCCTATACAAAAGAAAGAAAAAGTTCACCAGAAACACAAGCTTCAGTCCTCCACTTCAAAAAAGAAAAGGAAATAAACTTTAAATCCAGCAGAACCTGTAAATGAGTATTGACCAAATAACTTCCAAGTGAATGATAGTTCCTACATGCTAATCCTTCAAAACTAGGTTCAATTAATCAAAGCCAACTGACTCAAGTTGATAAAACCAAATATTAAGAAATATCACGTACTGTTCCATCTCAGAAAAGAATGAAACACCTACAACTCAAAGGTTTTCCTACTCCATTTTATTTGGCTCTGTCTGATATACAAAATCTCTAGTTTTTAAAAATTAATAAATAAGCAGCCTCAGAATAACTGCCTTCATTTCCATACCTTTCATAATTTTCATTATCTTATTTTATTTTTTTGAAAGTGATTTCCAATTATCTACAACCTTAAAGTTATTTCAAGTTTGCAAGAAAAAGAATTATTTTAGTGTTTCAACTTTCAATAGAGTGCTTGTCTGCTTGATATGTTATGTTTCAGTCAGCTGGTCAAGTAATGACATGTTTTTGGAGATTTGCTACATTAAATTGATTTCAATAGCTAATGCACATTTAAGATCTTTTGGCACCTTTTCTACTTTCAATAACAGGAATGTAGTGTTTGCAGTCACAGATCCTAAATCTGCAGTAAGCTATGTGTTTTCTAATTACCAATCATAAAAGAAAAGAGTTAAAACAAATATAATAAAAGGCATCAAAAGCCAACCGCTGAGCATAGCTCAGCTGGTACCTCACCTGGCCTTTACCTGGCACAATGGTTACGTGGTGGGGGTTTCATCCCCACATCTCCATTTCCCTTCTCCATAAGGTTCAATAGGACCTCCATAGAACCAAAAACAAAGGCATCAAAGGTGAAGTACTATAAAACAGAGAAAAGATACAGTTTTTGAAAATCTTACAACTAAAGATGGGGCATTATTAAGCCAAGATTTTTGACTAATAACACAAGTGGTCATATGATGTTTGGCAGACAAGTACCAAACCCAAACAATACAATTTCTAAACCTCAGAACAACAGGAGATTTAAGGAACATTGTACAACAAATACTTCAAGTAAGAGCCTGGTCAAGAAATAAAACAACACGCCAAGTGCTATTGACACGGGAAGAGCAGGCAAGGCTTTCTGATACAAAGCCAAAAGCATCAAAGTTATGCCAAGACCCGCAATGATAGCAAGATAACACGCATACACCGTCATAAAATCATACATCGCCGCCCTACCAACCAAGACACTATAGAAGATAAAATCTCCCAGCCCTAACTTGATTGCACCAGATGAACCCAATCCAATTCCCTCTAGCAACAAGTTTTCACTTGAAGTAGCATCTTCCACTCTACCAAGCTGCACATTCATTCCACGATCAATCAAGGGCGCAGAAAGGTCCGAATCCGTCTCTTGAACCCGTGCCCGTCCCTCCTCCACACTCACCAAATTTCTGTAACTATAGGAGCCACTAGAGGTATTACTGTTATCATTCAAATTTGGATTTGAAGAAGCATTTTCCCTAACCAAGTTCGCGCCATCCCGGTTATTGGCAGCGATTGCATCCGAATCGGATTGCGATTCAGCATTGGGGCTATGAGCCAACACTGAGTTGGCATTCGTGTTGGAATAATCAGTTTGGAGAATTGAATTCTCATGCCTCCTTTGTCTATCTCTCCACAACCGTCTCTGCACAACATCCCTAGGACTCAAATTACCATGGTTCACTGGCCTAGCCTCATAAACCAATGCAGGAATTTCTTCATCCCTTGAAATTGCAAGCTCCACCAAGAGCCTCAACGGTCCAATTGGTAGCAAAACCGCAGCAAGGTCATACAACGCCATAGCAACAAGCATGGCCCAAGTGGTCCACTCAGGCAACATAGTAAACCAATACGCAACCAGCATTCCAATAACAACCAAGTACCCTTGAGTCACAAAAATCGCCATTTTTGACATGAACACGGCCAAAACACCAACAACAGCGAAATTACACAAAACGAGGGAAAACGTAATGCAATCAAGGGGAGTACTGAAATGCTGAATCAAAAAGAGCGAGACTTCACCGCCAAGGAAGCCCAACACGACGAAAGCGGAGAAAGCCATGTAGAGCTTCAAGAACCTGGTGCATCGGAAGTAGAAGAGGAGGACCAAGACGAAGGTAACGACGGTGACGACCACAACGAAGGCCAAGGAGTTCAAAAGGGCTCCTAGGAACTTGTCCCAGGTGGAGTCGGAGGTTGTTTCGGTGTACGCGATGGTGACTATCGAGGCCATCGACGGGTCGAACGGAGATTTGGTGTTCAGAACTGAGACCAAGATTACGACCAAGAACATGCATATTGAAACGGGTGCGATGATTCTCACGATTTCTTCCCCCAAAGAATCGAGGATGCTTGAACAGGGTCTCTGGGTTTGGGTTTGGGTTTGTGTTTGCGCCATTGAAAGAAACGAAGTTACACTGTTCAGATCGAAACTAGCAAGTGTTATGGTTGGCTATGGCTCTACCACTTGGCCTCTCCCCTCTCATGGGCCGGGCCGGCACGTGACAAAAATGGGCTTAGGCCCGTTTATATTAAAAAGCGGCGAAAAAAAAAAAGAGAGAGTATCTTGCCTCTTTAAGCTCTACATAAACCCATTCCATTTCCCCGAAAACTAGATATCTTGCTTTAGGGTTTTAGGAATAGACAGAGTCTGGAGAGAAGTGAACACAGGTAATCTCCGATTATGTAACATTCTTCTTCATTCTTCACCGTGCTTCTCTTCGTTTTTGTTTTTATTTTTGTATTCCTTTTGATTCGACTTATTTGTTTAACTTGTCTTGTAGATCAATATATTGATTGGTGTGATACGTGTTTTTTGTTTTCTGTTTTCGATCGACGAACTTGCCTTCGTCGGTGATCGTGAGATCCAGAGAGTTTGAGATTTGAGCATCATTTGAAATTAGTTTTGTTAGCTTCTGAGTGAACTTGAATATATTTCTTTTCCTCTATGGTTAACGAAGTTTGTGGCATGGCTTCCTTTAGGATTTCTGTTCTTGTTTGGGACTAAAGCTACGAAATGGTTTGAGTTTTTATATGGTTCACTTTTGTTTTCTCTAGGTTTATGTTCAAAGTAGGGTTTTCTCATGTTGGAGGTGTTAATTAGTTTTTAAATTTGTGTTTTGAGTTATGTGCTGTACAGAGTCATTGACGTTTTGTTGTTTCTTTCGCAGCAATGGCTTTCTTTGGTAGAATTGGGAATTTGTTAAGACATGCTGCGAGCAGGCAGGTTAGCTCGGAATTGCGTTCATCCCCTTCTTTTTTTCAGGCTATACGCTGCATGTCTTCTGCTCCAAGCTCCAAGCTGTTTATAGGAGGTGCGTTTGAACTACCTTTTCAATTTTTATTTATTATTCTTTGCTTTGTTGATAATAATGATTAATGTATCTGTATCTAACATTTGTCTATCACAGGTGTTTCGTATTCTACTGATGAGCAAAGTTTGAGGGAAGCTTTTTCAAAATATGGTGAAGTTGTTGATGGTAAATATTTAGATTCTCTCTCTCTTGATTTTTGAGTTTTGTCGTCTGTAGGAATATTTATGTTTGGGGGGATTTGATGAAATTCCGTTGACATCTTTTATTTTAATTGATTTTCAAGTCAGTTATAATTCTCTTTAACACTCTGCTCTTTGTAGCAAGGATAATTATGGATCGTGAGACTGGTAGATCCAGAGGATTTGGCTTTATTACATACACTTCAGTTGAGGAGGCTTCGAGTGCCATTCAGGCCTTGGACGGTCAGGTAACAAAGACTACTAATTCTTAGTGTACTAATCTTGTGAGTATCATTGGTTGTAAACTTGTAATGATTGCTGCAAAATGATCATGTGCTGATGCAAGATATGTAACCCATCCAATTTGTGCAAAGTACGCAAGTTGTGTGCAATGCTAATTTAGATTACTTAGCTGTGTTTTGTACACAATAAGCTTTTAAATTGTGATCATGTTGGCCATGATATAATCATACAAATTTTGTTTACTTGGCAAGCTTTTAAATATTGGTCTGCATCTTCATGTAGTTTTATGCTTTTATCCTTCATTAAACTTTTTGTTTATCTAATTTTGCAAAGTTTGAGTAGTAGTAAGGTGTCATCTGTTACTAGTGCTTTATTGTTTCTGTGCAACATTTTCAGGACCTTCACGGTCGCCAGATTAAGGTAAATTACGCTAATGAAAGAACTCGTGGTGGTGGTGGTGGCTTTGGTGGTTCCTATGGTGCTGGAGCTGGTGGTGGCTATGGAGGTGGTTATGGTGGTGGCGGCTACGGTGGTGGTGGCTATGGTAGAAATGCAGCTGGTGGTTATGGGGGTGCTGGCTATGGTGGAAATGCAGCTGGCAGTTATGGGGGTGGTGGATATGGTGGTGGCGACTATGGATCAGGTGGCAATTATGGGGACAGTGGCTCTGTCAATAACTACTCTGCTCCAGATAATTTTGGAGCTAGTAGTGCTGGTGGCAGTTACAGTGGGGGTGGGATAAATTATGGGAATGATGGAAACACTTACGCAGGTGGAAGCAGTGGAGGCTATGGTGGTAACAGTGGAAGTTTTGGCGATGCTGGTGGTGTAGGCAATCAGGAAATTTCTGGTGGTTTTGGCAGTAGTGGATATGATGGAAATGCCGTGGATGGTAGTGGCGGTACAGGTACTGGCCCCAGCGGCTTTGCTGATGGATTTGATGGAAGTGGGGGGTTGGAATTTGGCAGCACTGGCCAATTGGACAGCAAAACAAACAGCAACGGAAATGAGGATTTGGGAGATTACAGGGACGACAATGATGATGCTGATGATTTTGCCAAAAGAGCTTGATGGAAGTTTTTAGTTTTTAGATTTCTACTGCTCGTGTTCTGTACCGTACCTCTTCCTAAAATCTCTATGGACTCAACCTGATGAGCATTTCAGGCATTGTTATCTTTATCAGCTGGACATGGCTGAAAAGGAAGTTATGTACGTCCATCTTAATCGTCTTTCATTCCTTATTTTCTTAAGAATCAGATATCTCATTTTTGTTTCTTTGAGGTGGTTTAGTATTAACCGAATTTGAGATCTTCATACAGCATGTAAATCAGTGAATTGTTCCAAGTTGTCATAACAATTGAAGACGTATGTGGGAATTTTATGATCAGTTATTCATTTTAAGTGATTTTAGTTCTGCACGAGAAAACATTATTTAAAACCGAGTAAACTGAATTGAAAAATCAAATATTTTTTATTATTAGATTGAATTAAATACCGGATTTGATTTTAAAAATAGATACAATACAATTGAATCCATGCGATATTTTAACCGTAAATTTATGATATTTTTATTATCATCTTTTTATGTAATTGTAAAATTATTACGTAATATATATTTATTTATGAAAATTTTAATTAAAGGCATATAAATGTAATTATCAAGTTGAGTAAATTTGTTTTTATTAGTATATATTTGCAAAGTTGCATAACTATTTGGTATATATATTAACTTGTAAATTAGATACATGATATTTTAAATTTTTTTTATATCTCACCATTTATTTAATATTTTCTCCGGGTGAAAGTAAAAAATGACTAAAATTAAAAAGTAATTCAATTTAAACCTATCCAATTTAACATTTAATCGTATTTGATTTGTGTTTTAAATTAAATTGACTGATTGATAAATCAAGATTGGGATTTGAAGTGACTGGATTTAGTATTTTTAGTCGTTTAAAAATAAATTTAATAGAATTCGTGAACACCAAGGATGCATTATGTTGTTCATGCACTCATGTATAACTTTGATCGTCATTTCGACTCCGTCTTGCGTGGGTAAGCACAGTTTCAATCTAACAGGTTAAACTCATCAATTATATTTGCACGTGAATAGTATAACGTAAAAAATGCTAATAATAAATGGCTATTTGATTTTATTTAGATAAAAAATTAAGTTTCAAAAATAAATGTACATGTTTTTATTAAGTAATTATTTTTCCAATGATTAACTTTTAATTTTAAACATCCGTATATCATTATTATTACGTATAAGACGGAAAGGGGAGGCGACATGGAGTGCAAGTATCTTGTTGTGAATCGAACTCATCCGCATTTTCCACTAGATTAGACCTTATCTGTATGCAGCATAACATAAAAATTGAGTCTATTTGAGAAACAAACACATCATGTGCACTGTTCAAAGAAGATATATGACGTGGAAACTTACATGCACTATAACTAATCCATCTAAAAGGCATAAAAAGATTGTCATCGGTCGCCCAAAGATTTTAGCCAATAGCCAGTAATGCTAAGATCGATTCCTATTTGATACAGTGAAGTCCAGATCATGCAAAGAGTGTTGCGGTTATCATCAAACAAAATATGTAAAGATCAAGAGCAAGGAAGCAATGTTGTACTCACAAGTAACATCTTGTATACCACCAAATAAAAAAAGTGAAATGTCCTACTCTAGCATTTCTACACACCTAAAAAGTATTTGATATCAATGTTCATCTTCATCCATAGAATACAATATCCTTCTGGCATTTTGTAAGACAGGAGAACCTTTCTTGGTTCTTTCAACAATTTGTCTAATTAATTGCCTTTCCACCTCATAATCACACTCACTTTTTTCATCTCCAGTAACATCATTTAATTCATAGTTGGTAGAGCTTAGCCCTTCCAACATTGTGACCTCACCAGAAGAGAGTTCCCTTGATAGTCTCTCTTCGTTAACAGTGGAATGAGTAACGAGATCGTTTGCTCCACAAAGTTGAACCCCTAATACATGTAAATCATGTGAATGTGAATCTACTTTGTAGTCAGTATTATGGATGCTTGGTGGTGAATTTTCTTCAAAGTCATCTATCTTTATGATTTCTTCAAAATAGGTGTCATTGTAAGCACCTAGAGTTTCACCAGATGAATAGGGTTCGGTCATAGGCTCACAATCATTATAAGTCAATATATTTCTTCCTTCAGTAAGGGATAAAGCTTGCCCACAACCTGAGAAGCACTTCGGGGAATGACTCTCATGCTCTGATTCCATGAACCGTAATTTCCTCTGGCTATTTTCGAGAGCAATCTCAAGCTCCTGTACACGTCTCTTAAGTCTGGATTGGATAACTTCATGCAAGCGCAGTCTTAGTTCATGAGGGCAAACAGCATGATTTTCAGGGATCATAGTGTCACTGGCATCCTCATTTAGTTTGGAATGGACAAAATGTTTCCCGCCCATCATGTCAGCTTGCAACTCACCTTCAGCAAAATCTGCTACAAAATCAGGGTCAAGCTGCAAGAATTTTGCAATGTTAGGACACCATGAACCTGTGTTAACTTGAACACAGAAAACATGGAATGGAGGAAAACAAAAGAGGTAAGTTTTCAGACAGAGAACAAAATAGAAAAGGGAAATGAACTACAGCCACAAATCAAGAGTTAACGTGATTTCCAAAGGATTCAAAATAATTCGGTGAATCCAGATTCGCTTTGTCCCAAATTCAATTTTCTTTCAAGCCATGATGCAAATTACGGTAGGCTTTAAAGCTATTTTATGAGCCATAACACCAGACATTATCATAAAGATAAGGAGAAGTAAAACAATCAAACTTTCCCCAAGATGGCACTCTTTCTACTGCTACTCCAAGATGATATAGAACAAAATGAAAGACATTAGCAAAAATCTGGGAATTGAAAACTTGCATGACATTCAAATAGGATATATTAGTTGGTAAAGAGAAAAATATGGCATATAGAATGGGACAACGTAAAAAAAAGTTCTATAGCAATGCTATATATTTATTATTTTACAACAATGCCAGTTTCTGGTGTTACAACTTACAATTCCAATTTTAACTACAGTAAAACCAATCATATAAAAGAGAAACCCATGCGGCAGCATATAAAGACTTTAAGCAATTTTCATTTCATGAGGTAGCTTTTAGAGTTGGATAAAGCTGAACCCAGCCGAAATTCAAGACTGGCATAATAATATTAAATTATCACTTTAATTTTTATTTTTTTTATTTATTTATTGGTAAGAAAAAATACACGGTATAACGGAGGTTATCAGAACAATAGAATCCTTCAACAAAGAAAGTGACATTATATTTGACAATATGCATCAAAAGTATCCACAGTTTGCAGCTTAATATGCATCCAAGATATTTTAACATAAGCAAAGCTATTTTAAATTAGAAAAATAACAAAACCAATATTCCATACTACAGTAACTAAACCAAACTCCAAACATATAAATTATTTAAAGAATGTGACATAAAACAGACGAAATAGAGAAGAAGATAATAAAACTGTTCTAAGACATAAATCAGAAAGCTCTGTTTTCACTCCACTCTTTGTTGTTTCCACTATCAGGCATGGAAGTAAAGTAGGATTGCAATAGATGAAAAAAAAGCTAAACAACAAAGCACCTTTCAACAGATATATTCCTAGACAATGTTATGTACGTACAGGATCATGTCATTACTAGGAAATGCAAAATATAAACATTTATGGTTACCTCAAAAAACTCAGATAGTGGTCTTTCTGGGCTAGATTCGTTCATGTTTAATCCCAATCTCTCAAGTTCAGCTTCAAGCTCGGCTTCAATTTTGCTCATAGATTCTGAACTATCTTCTTCCTTCTGATCATATGATTTTTTGCGGTCAATTATTGGAGAGTTATCTGTGTGCTTTTCAGGTGAAAATCCATTTAGCTCCTTATCACATAAGGAATGATCACAAGTACTATTTGAAACATAATTTTCATTATGTAACTCCTTCACCCTCGTTGAATCTTTCATTTCAAGATCCTCTTGTAGATCTTTAACCAAGTTTTCAGTCTGCTTCAACGACTCTCTTAACTTGTCCACTTCTCTTTTATTTGTCAAGATGGAAGTTATTATGCCGAAAGAAATCCCAAGACTGAAGAGAAATGTTGCATCTGATGATTATGTTATGTACATGTCAACAAGAGTAATAATTAAAGCAAAACACACAACACAACAAGCATCAGAGACTTCAAATCAACTCATGAAATAAATTGCAACCTACTTCATCAACAGGTCAACCTATGTGGTAATTGTCAGTGACACTGTCTCACAGATGACTTGATTGAGTTATAAAGCTATCTGAGATCAACATGTTAAACCTGGATAGTAAAACCCTTTTTTTTTTTTAAGGTTTAGGGTTTAGCAGTGAAAATGGCATTTTTGGCCCTGAAGCAAATTTTCCCCTCCAGACCAAAAAAATCCTCCCATTTGTAAGGAACGAGATTGGTCAATTGTGCAAGATGTCAATTCTCTGGAAGGTTTGGTTCATGAATAAAAAAACCAAGATTGTATAATGTGGGGAGTTTAGACCAGTTCAAAACCCATTTAATTTTCATAAAAATTGATAATACATGAGTCTCATTCTCTGACACAAGTGAATTGTATATAAATATACAGGTGAGAACGTAATGAAACAAGATTCCTTTACAAGATATTGTAACTAACCAGAAAATGAAGCATAATCTAAAAAAATTGATATCTATGAGCAGACTGATAAATTTCCTCAAGAGCAAACAAGTGAAATACTCTCAAGACAAAAAGAAAATAAATATTCTAAATGGAGGTATGAAAGACCATACACAAAACAAATATTTGTAAAGGTACTTGTGAGTCAAGATACCATGTTGACTATGGATGAGCTTACCACTGAACACATTGCTGGAAGGGCCCAATCTCCCACTTCGTCCATTGCCTGCATTAAATTTCATCTCCTTGGCATCATTGAAAGACCTGATGTTTGGTAAGGAAGGGACTCCAAATAGTACACTCTCATCTTTCACTTTACTGGCTTCTCTATGCAACCTACATTCTTCACTTCCGGCTAGTTCATCGAAAGAATCACCATCATTTGTTCTGCTAATCATTTGGCTTCCATCACTAACAATGAATGATCTCGTGGCTGTGGATGACAACGAAACGGATTCTTTCATTTTGCCGTGCACTTTGCATAGCTGAGCCATTAGGCAACTTTCCAAGGAGTTTGAAGGTTTACTAATATGCCCATACAAATGCTTAGTCCTGTGAGAGATTTGATTTCCAAAAGCATTATGACCTAATTTTCCTGCAGACAAATCACCGAAATCCGGAAGAAGGAAACCACAATTGCCACCAACAGTGGAGCTTTGCTCATTTCCATATCCAATATCAGTAAAGTTAGATACAGAAAGGACGTCACTCTCATTGCAACTCCTGAATGGCCTTACTTTTTCACTGTCAATCCCTTTGGTAGAAGCCAATTCTATTGCAAAAACACCACCCTGTGAATTCACATCTGAAACCCTTCTATCTAAAGAATCTCTCCCTGCTTGTGTGCATAAGGGATGGGTTGGGGCCTCAGGATTCTCAAAACTGGAATCCTCTGAAGACAAATGAGATAAGTTATCACCATTCTTCGAAAGTTTGTTCAAATATTTAGCTAAGCACCCAGCTCCAGCAACGGCTGCAACAACCCATAAATCCATTTTGCCAATTCAACACACAAACATGGTCACTACCCAAACCCCATAAAACAAATAATCATCTTTATATAGGTTAACAGCAAGACACATGAAAGGGGCAAATGTTCCATCAATTTAGAGAAATTGGCGAAAACCCCTTGAAGGAAAATGAAAGCACCATCCCTGATTCACTTACTAAACAAATATTCTTCTCACAATTCTTTTTAGCAATGAAGAACCCACCATTTACCATTCCAAAGTGGATGCGTGGACAATCCAATAAGAAGAAATAATAAATATTAGGAATAAAAAGAAGAGAGAAAATGGAAAGATTTTGTGAAGTTGGCAGCAACAAAAGGAGCACGCTTTTGAGGAAACGAACGCAAATTGACGATGAAAGTAGGAAAGTAGATTTGTTCAGTGCAAACAAAATTTTGAAGTTATTCAGAGACCCCTCGCTGTCGGGTGTTGAAACCAAAATCTATGACTCTGACACACAACCAAAGCTACCAAACCAACAACCCTAAACAAACAATATCACGCGCCACTTGCGAATAAAATACGACACTGTCTCTCTACCAGTAATTCTCCCCAAATAATAATAATAAGGGAAAAATCATATTAATTTCCTTAAACCTTTATCTCTTTATAATTTTACACCCAAAACTTTAATTTAATCTAAATTAATTCTTAAAGAATTATTTTATTTATAAATGAACACTATAAATTTTTATTTTGTTCAAACCAATTTTTAAATTTTACTTTTTAGTAGACAGTCTTCAACTTTAATTACAATTTATTTAATTTTAAATTTGTTCATTATATTAATAAGGCTATAAATTTATTTAGTAGACACTATAGTTTTTTTTATATTATAGTTTATTTAGTAGATACTATAATTTTTTATATTAAAAAGTATGTTAGTATTTTATTTTTTAAATTTGGGTCAATTTTATCATTTTGCTATAGAGAGTGTTTTTAATTCCTTTTTTAATTAATTTAAGACATAAAATTTGTCTCATTATATCAATCTACAAATGGAGGTTTAGATTTCATGTGCACAAGTTGTGGGTGATCAAGTGTTGTTGCATGTTGATGGTAGTTGTTTAGGACAATCAATATTAGCTGAGTTTAAAAGTCTTATTCGTAACTCTTTTGAAAATTGAATTAAGGGTTTTAGTGATGATATTGAAGTTGTTGATAACATAAAAGTTGAATTAGTTGCATTACTTTTTAGTTATGCTTAGCTAGGAGACTTTGGTACTTAAATGTTGATGATAATTGTTTAAGGACAACTAGGACTAACTGAATTAGGATCTTATTTGTGAATCTTTTGAAAATTGAATTAGGCACTTCAATGACGATATTGTAATTGTTGATAATACAAAAGTTGAATTAGTTGCGTTATTTTTAAATTATGCCTAGCTAGGAGAATTGGGTATTCAAATGTTTTGTGCCTTTCAAACTCATCTTATGTTTTCTCATTGGTGAGATCAAATTGTGAGAGTAAGCACAAATATACTTTTTATTATTGTGGAAAGTTAAAAATTATTGTTTTGTGATTGGACTTTTCAGCTTAAACATATTATGAGAGAGACTAATGTTTCTTACTCGCTTAGACTCGAATTATAATTATGCGTATTTAGAATTGAATTTCCTCCAATAATTTAAAACATCATCTATTGGCCAATGATAGAGGGATTTTCAATATCGTATGTATCTTTGGTTTATGATTATCACTATTTATTATGATAATAGATTTTAATTTTTTTTGGGTTGTTTGTTTGACTTATTTTCATTATGTTTATGACTATTTTTTTCCCTTCCAAAAATCAGTTATTTACAAAATCAATTAAGTTTGACAATTAATTAAAAATAAAATTAAAGTTTATAATATCTATTAAAAATGAATCAAAATTCAAAAGTTAAATAGGATAAATTTAAAAATTTTATTTGTAAAGAAGTAAAACTTAGAGAATTAAGTGTTATTTTATCTAAAAATAATAAGAAGAGTACTATTAATGATAGTGATATTTATTTTGTTATTATCAGGTTTTAAAAGTTGATATTAATTGCAGTAAAAAAATGATATTAATTAGTTAAATTAAAATATTTTCGTTCAAAAAGGTATTTATTACTATATTTTTATAGTCTTAATGTAATGAATATTTGTGTAATGATTATGGTTAAAAAATTGAAAGAAGAGGAAACGCAAAAACATTTTAGCAATGTGCCCAAAAATTATCTTATAAGCTTCTGCCTGCTGGCCGTGCCGTGGCGAGTAAATTTCATTGGTACAATCGACAAGACTAAGGACGATACATAAGAAATCATTATTATCATCCAATAAATCCAATTATACCACAACCATCCAATAACCTTTCAAGTTTCAAGGCTGTCTATTTAATTCAAAGACAACCATAATTGTATCTTATTAAAATTTAAAAGAATTTATATTCTGTTATTTATTTTATGAATCAATATACTAAGATTTGTTTATGTTTGTGTATAATTAATTGATTTTAAAAAAATAATGTTGAAAAATTTGTTTGTATATTAAAATAATATTTCGTGTGGTATAATTATGTTGCTATTTTCTTACAATATTTTTTTAAAAAGTTGGTAAAAGAATGAATATACGATGGTTTTTTATCCAAATAGTGTAGTTTTTTTTTTTAAATATTACATTAGTGTACTAAAACAAATAGTAAAAATTAGTAGTTTGGACTTTTTTTTTGTGTGGCAGTTTACTGATACACCACCATAAAGTAGCCCAACAGCAAAACTAATGGCTTCAACACAGTCCTTGCCACCAAGTGTTTTATTTTTTGGGCCGAAGCATGAAACCTGAAAGAAAGGGAGACAGCTGATGATAAATACACCTCCATTTTTTTATACATATACCCCCTTTTAAAAAAAAAAAATTCCTAAATTATCCTTAATATTATTTGAAATAAAAAAAAATTATCCTGGAAAATTTTTTCGAAGGTGTATTTGTACATAATTATGGAAAGTTCTTTCCGGAATACTAAAATTACTATTCTGGAAATAACTTTCCGTCGGAATAATTCTGGAAAGTACTTTCCGTAACACTAAAATTACTATTGCGAAAAGTTTTTTCCATAATTATGGTAACAAATACACACACTGTTAATATTTCGGAAAGAATTTTTCACAATAGTAATTCTAGTGTTACGGAAAGTATTTTCCATAATTATTTTAACGGAAAAATAGTAATTTTAGTATTCTGGAAAGTACTTTCCGTAATTATTCTGACGGAAAGTTCTTTTCGGAAGGTTCATGATATATACACCTCCTGTTTTTTTTATAAGTACACATTCTTTATTTTTTTTTTAAAATTATAAAATATTATATATATATTTTTTAATTTTATACCTTTAACTTTCAATTTTCTACTCTTTTTTTTCAAACTTTTTTTTCTTTCAATTTTTACATGCTACTAAAATAGGTAGGGTGAAGGAAAGATAACGGGGTGCATGTAAAAATTGAAAAAAGAAAAAAAGAAGAAAAAAGAAATATCTATAAAAAAAAGTACTAAATTAAATGTTGTGAATGTAAAATTAAATAAAAAAGCAAAAAATTAAGAATATTTTAAAATTTTAATTATTTTTTTTAAAATGAGGTGTACTTATAGGAAAAAAGAGGTGTATATATCATCAACCCAATGAGGCTCAATAAGCCCATCAAGGCTCAGCAGAAACATCCCTTATTAGAGTTAGGCCCATGATATATACACATCCTTTTTTTTATAAGTATATCTCCTTTATTTTTTTTAAAAAAATTATTAAATATTGTAAACTTTTTTTTAATTTTTTAATTTTATACTTCTAATTTTTAATTTGCTACTTTTTTCTTCTTTTTCGCACTTTTTTTTTCTTTTTTAGTTTTCACATGTTACTAAAATAGGTGTAGTGAAAGAAAGGTAAGGAGGTGTATGTAAAAATTGAAAAAAGAAGAAAATATATGTAAAAAAAAGTATTAAATTAAATATTGTAGATGTAAAATTAAAAATTAAAAATTAAAAATATTTTAAAATTTTAATTATTTTTTTTAAAAGGAGGTGTACTTATAAAAAAAAAGGAGGTGCATATATCATGAACCTTATAGTTATCTTCGGTTATTTATGGCCTTCCTTATAGTGTGTTTGGATGAAGAATTTTACAAATTCAAGGAATTTTAAATTTTTGGCATTTGAATTACTTTAATTTTAATTTCTATCATTCTTAAAATATTTTGTTTGGATGAGTCAATTCAAATTTTTTAAATTTTAAATTATTAGGTTGAATATGATAATTTGATTCCATCATAGTAAAATTGATTTTAAAAATATATTTATATGCTGAGATTTTTAAATTAAATTTTATAAAAATAAATATTAATCCATTTTTAAATATTTAATAATTTTAAAAATTAATATTAGATAATATTTAATAATTTTAAAAATTAATATAATAATATTTAATAATTTTAATAATATTTTTGAATATCCAATAATTAAAAGAATGAAGAGATAAGATAAAATATATAGGTGAAATAAGAAAAATAAATATGAGGAATTTCAAATTCTCCCATTTTTAGGAGAATTTGAAATTATACTATTTTAAGGAATTTCACAAATGCTTGGATTTTAAATTCTTTGTAAATTCCTCATCCAAACAAAGTATTTCACCTCAAGAAATTTGAAATTCTTCAAATAAATGAATTACCCTATATAAATTCCTCATCCAAACATACCATTAGAGTTATCTTCGGTTATTTATGTCCTTGTATCATGCAAAGAGAGAAAAAAAAAAAGTGGTTATCAATGTCAATCCTTGAACACATGTTTGTATAATGTCATCATCATTCCTTGAACACACCTTTGCATATCATTAGTTGTAACAAAACTAATTAAGATAACTAAAATTCAAAACTATGATCATTTACATACTCATCTATCATAGTTGTCTGGTGTCCTTGCCCACAGTGTGTCAATACACATATTAAAGTCAAAGAACGCCATTAATATTTTCTATTTATATTAGTCATGCCTTATTTTACAGGTAATTTCTTCTTTTTTTTTTTTAAAGCATTCATCAACATTAAATAAGTTCGTTTGCCACTAAAATTAGGTTGTTACTGAGGAATTTGGATAATTAATTTATATAAGATCTTTAGATTAAACTATACACCATTACACACTAAAAAAACAACAATAAAAAAAATATGATCGCGTTACAATGCCCTTTTGCAAAAAATATTTTCTATCTCACTTTGTTTGAAAAGTTGTGTTGAAGCACATGCAGTGTCGAGAGTTAGGAAACATACTTAAAAATTAAGTTATGGTTATGGCGGTTAAATAGTCATTCATTGGAGGCTATTCCAATTTTGATATTGCAAGTACGACTTCACAAGGTGAGGCACATTACAAATTGTTCAAATAAGTATTAATTTCATGTTAAAAAAATGTAAAAGTTATATTAAAACAATAACCAATTCTATAATAATTAAAGAGATGTGAAATAATCTTAAATAAACTATTTTTATGACACGATATTTTATTACAATACTTTTTTTTATAGATATTACAATACTTATTTTATTAATTATTAAATTTTAGAATAATTATTATTTAACTATCATCACTACAAAAATATATATCATGTTTGATGTTAATTTAGTCGAGAAAATAATAACTTTCTTAATAGTTCTTTTAGAAAGTTGACAAAAAAGTGACTTTTTTTTTTCCAAAATAAATTAAACTAAATGTACATTTAGTTGTTAGAATTATTTTTAGCCATATAGACTTTGTCAAAAAAAAAATGTGTACAAAAAAATACTTTGACAAACTCAAATTGAATGATGTGTCATACACTCAAGGTGACACATATTACAAGGATAGATATATAATATCTATGTTTACAACTAAGTCTATGTTAATGAGAATAAGTCTAGTGATTAAATATTTTTTTTTGTTAGAATATATATTTTTCTCTTTTTTTGTATTGTTCGTTGCTCTCATTGCATATAAAGGCAAAATAGATTTTTTTTTCTCTCTCTTTTATTGTGCTATTTGTATCATTGAAATTTCTGTATTATGCTAATTACATCATATAAATTACTGATCATTTGAATTATTATCGTTTGTTAATAGAGATAATATTAGAACCATTCAAATCAAATCAAAATTGTTATATATATATATATATATATATATATATATATATTTTCATATGCAATTGGTTTAGCCACTTTGTAATAAGTGAAAACGTTAGAATATAAATAAGGTCTCACATCGATAAAATAAAAAATGAAATAATTATTTATAAAACATACATTTACTCTAATGATTGAGAGACCTTTTGGATGATAATAGAAAATAAACTTTGAAGACTTAGACCCAACCATGGACAATATTTCACTATTGTAAAACTTTGTGTGAAATAAACCGATAAAGTTAACAAAATATAACCCTCTTTTCTTGATATAAATATTGACAAAAATAACCCTAACAAAAACTGGGTGATAATCCATGAATTTTGAGAGTAATTATGTTATAATGTACTTTTTACATGTAACATTGTATTTTCAAAAAATACCAGTCAAATTGTAAAAACACTCAATTATTCAAAACATAAATATACCATGTATTACCACCTTATAGCCTGTCTTACTTTGCTGTCCTCTCTTCATATTTTTACAAAAATGTATCAAGCTTTCAAGTGAGAGCAAAATGTTGTTCCATGTATTTAAAGAGTATAATGGGGTTTTTAAATTCATATTATTCATTAAAAGAGTTGGATTTTCATATAAAAATGACATTTAAATAATAATGATTGTAATATATATATATATATAGATATATAATGTCATTTT